CTTTGTCGTAAATGACTTGGACTCACTTGGTGTCCGGCATAGAGTCAGCCACCTGGAGGGCGTTGTGGTAGACGTAATGTAGCAGGTTGTCAATGACGTGGATGACGCCGTTGACAGTTGGGATGTTAGCCTGGATCACCTTGGCGTGAACACGGTTGTTGGCTATGTACACTGGATGTGAGACAAACAAGGGACGTAATGTGGGGCAGTATGTGGGGCAGTATGTGGGGCAGTATGTGAGACAGTATGTGGGACAGTATGTGGGACAGTATGTGGGACAGTATGTGGAACAGTAACTGCGGAAGTATGTGGTGCAGTTTCTGGGGCAGTATGTGGGACAATATGGGTTCTGAAAGTGGTACAGTATGTAAGGCAATATGTGGGAAATATTGGTTACTGTATGTGATACAGTATGTGGTACAATATGTGGTAAAATGTCTGGTACAATGTTAGGTGCATCGTATGGTGCGATGTGTGGACAGTGGATGGTACAATGTGTGGTACAATGTGTGGTACAATGTGTGGTACAATGTGTGGTACAATGTGTGGTACAATGTGTGGTACAATGTGTGGTATAATGTGTGGTACAATGTGTGGTACAATGTGTGGTAAAGATGTAGTAAAATGTGAGAAAATGTGAGATAAAATGTGAGATAAAATGTGAGATAAAATGTGAGATACAATGATTGATACAATCTATAGCGAATGTCATAATGCCATCTGAGGTACATTATTTTGTCAAAAAAGACTTTCTACGTAAACATGGATAACTTAATATGAAAAGTTTTAAAATGCTCAAAGCTTTGAGTTATTCATTATGCTAAGTTCACACGATCAAATTTCCCGCAATTTTCGACAAATTTAGTTCTGAACGCACGATTTAGTCAAACAAAAGGGCGCGTTTAAAAAGAATTTGATGAAAAATGTGATCGTGTGATCTGACCATAAAGGAACTATTGAAATTTATTTAGTGTTTAAATATGTCCTCTGAAAATCCCCCCAAAAAAGAACTGCACTTGCAACATTCTCGTGAAAATGCACATTTCAGAAGAGAAACAATTTTAAAAATTTGGATTTTTAAAAAAAAATTTTGGACCTGTAAGTACAACTTGAAAAAAGCGATTGCCAAGAGACCAGAATGGTCTGCAAGATGCTGTCATGGGATTAAAAGCTCTTTAAATAATTCAATACAGCCATACGTCAGAAAACCTACGTCAGACAATCTACGTCAGACAACCTACGTCAGACAACCTACGTCAGACAACCTACGTCAGACAACCTACGTCAGACAACCTACGTCAGACAACCTACGTCAGACAACCTACGTCAGACAACCTACGTCAGACAACCTACGTCAGACAACCTACGTCAGACAACCTACGTCAGACAAGGCGGATTTGGTGCTCATTTCCGGAAGCAGGTTTTTGCTTTCTAAAAATACTACAGGATGCAAAAATTTAAAGTTGATGTTTAAAAAAAAATGTTTGGTGTTCATGAAAGGTATCATGTGATCTGATAAAAAGAGGCGTCACCCCTCATAGGTAATATAAGCTACATAATCTGCGACCTACTTTTAAAGTGAAAGTGATCTGTGAAACTAAAGTGCTGTATGAAACGGAAGTTGTATTTCAACTGGAAGGTGATTTTGAATGACATGTTAAATGTCAGATACAAATCTTCGAACAATGTTAAATAACAAATAATTGTAACAGATCAATCATTACAACTATAAATGACATGTTACAATAATGTATGGCACGTCAAATATTATGGCAATGACATAGGTGAGTCCAAGACTTACGTTTTCCATCTCGCGTGTAGAAGCGTATGCTCCCGTACAAGGCCTTCCTGGTGGGGATGCCCTTGATGCCTGCAGGCAGATACAGGGCTTCGTCCTCAATGATGTGTGCTTGATACACCTGGCGGGAAACAAGGTCATACGGCAGGTGAGGCGTAACACAAGGTCATATGGCAGGCGAGGTATAAAACAAGGTTATATGACAGTTAATGTGCAAAACAATGTCCATAGCAGGTGAGGTGTAAAACAAGGTTATAGGGCAGGTGAGGCGTAACACAAGGTCATATGGCAGGTGTGTGTAAAACAGGTCTTATGGTTCAACTACATAGGATATAGTTGACGCGGAAACAGATTAGATTGATGCACAGACAAGTAGTTGATGTTGAAATAAATGAAAATGATAGATAAATAAATAACAGTGGCAAAGACATAATAATAATTGGCACAGAAATAAATAACATTGAAATATAAATAAATAATAACACAGAAATGAACAACAACGACAGAGAAATAAATAACATCAGAGATATAAATAAAATTGACAAAAAAAAATAAATAGCAATAAGAGATAAATTAATAAATAATGACAGAAAAATAAATGTAAGGGAGATCGATCAAAGACAGATCTAGAAACTAACATTGTTTTCACACAATAGGCACAGACATTATGAGGGGGGGGGGGTAAACGATTTGACTTATGAAAGTTATGTATCATAAGTGGCGTAGCTAGGATTAATTCCACTTTTAGTGGTGGGGGGGTCAAAATTTAGCCCCCCCCCCTTTTTTCCCCCCGAAAAAGTGGACAAGCGCAGGGGGGGGAAAAAAAGCCACCCCCCCAAAAAAAGACCCCCCCCCCCCCCCCCCCCNTGGGAGAGAATGACGTGTACAGACTTTTGGTACTGTTGGTCTGCTGGGTCAAGGTCGGAACCACTATGGCCGCCATGATGATCGCACTGTAATACGAAACGAAGATTTTTTTTTTTTTTTTTCTAAATATTTTAAATATGTCTTTGTTTCTCCTCACAGACTGAGAGAGACAGAGAGCTACATTGTGATCTGGCGACACACAAGTTTTTAATCTCAAATAGAATTTTGTCTTTTATTGTCTGCATGAAGATGGCGTTTAGAAGATACGTCCTTCTAATCGTTCAAGTCTTTTATTTTTAAAAAAAAATTTCTGGATGTTAAAAAAAAAAGGTATAAACATATCTTCTTTTGCTATATTAACATTGAGATATGGGGGGGGGGAGAAACAAACATTCTTTTTAATTGAATAAACCATTTTAGAGACGTCATTTCTAGGCACTGAGCTTCTCAGCCTTCATCAATTCTATAAGTCGTATGTAGGGGTATTAGTGGGTGTAGGGTAGTAAAGATTGTTTTCGCTTGATATGTGTCCCTAGTCATTCCTTTGATGAAACCACCATCTCGCTATTCATCAGAAGTTAACAGTTATTTTGAAATGTGATGCGCCAAACTTGAAGTGTACCCTAGGATGACTCTTGAGTACTTCCTACCGGCTAACTCCGCAACACTAAAAAAGTCATGCGTACCCTAGGGTGACTCTGAGCCCGTCATACCAGCACAGCGACAGTCAACAAGCTATTTAATGGAGAAGAGACAAAAACATTGCAAATAGCTAACACTAGCTGGGAGCTAATAGACAAACAACAAACGTGTAAATCGAGAAGATTTGAGAAATTCGAGTAAAGGTTTTCGAAATTAATTTTCAAGTCTGTGAGAAATGGACACCGTGCAGACACACAGACACATCAATCAGCAGGTGAACAAATAGAGTCAGTGACATGGGTCAAGGCCATATTGAAAGAGAGGTAGACGCAGCCGAAGAGCGCCCAGATTTGAGAAGCTCCGAAATAAAAGCAGATGAATTGAAACGAAACAATTCATTATTTAAAACATCGTTTTGGGGGGGAATTTCAAGACACGTTTCCGAAACAAATTTCAGATATTTAGTTTAAAAATACACTAAATTTTAGATTTTTTTTTTTTAGCTTAATAGCATTATATTTTTGATACCGATATCCCCATTCGGATCCATACAACATCCGATTACGTGCAGAATTGAACAAGAATTGTTGCTGAATGCGCAGGTTTATTAGATGAATGCGCTTCAATGTTCACTTCGCTCTTTCACTCGGGGGCAGCGCAATTTCGCGTCAAATCCAATAGGCCAGATAAATTCAACAGGTAAGCTGACACGAAAGACTGATTGGTCAAAGCTGAAACAATGATAACTAGTCTTAATTATGGGTTTTCGTTTTTAAAATCGAGTTCAGATGTGAGGGGTAGCTGTACACAGATGTCGAAATAACCACGCAAAGAAGAAATGGCGGGGAGGGGGGGTGGGGGGTGGGCGAATCCCTGGAAGTTGCGTCCTTGTTTAAAGAGGGGCCGCAGAAGGGCACCAAATTTTTTTTTCAAATGCTGGCCCTGGACAGTAAAGGGGCGTTTCGCTTTCAGTCAAGGAATGAATAAATCAATAATTCAGATCTTGAGATTCTATGGCGTCATCATATCACGCAACGGCAATGTAAATTATAATCTCAAACCCTTCGACAATAGCGGCAATGGTCAATGTCTCGTCCGCTGTAATTTGATTCAAAAGATAATATGAAATGATGGCCAAATCATCGCTTTTGAATGCCGACTTATTCAACGAATTTAGACACCAATTCTCACGTGAGCCTATTTAAACATTTCCATATTCCTCTCATTTTAAAGAAACGTTTTCTGATATAGATATGTCCACATATTTCTTCCTTTTGAATATTATGACGAATCTTATAATTTTTTTTAAGAGGGGGTAAGGGAGATAACTTTGTAGAAGGTTCACCTGAACGAAAGATATACTAATAATTCGTTAGAAGTCTCGCCTGAACGAAAGAAATACTATAATTTGTTAGAAGTCTCACCTGAACGAAAGAAATACTATAATTTGTTAGAAGTCTCACCTGAACGAAAGAAATACTATAATTTGTTAGAAGTCTCACCTGAACGAAAGAAATACTATAATTTGTTAGAAGTCTCACCTGAACGAAAGAAATACTATAATTTGTTAGAAGTCTCACCTGAACGAAAGAAATACTATAATTTGTTAGAAGTCTCACCTGAACGAAAGAAATACTATAATTTGTTAGAAGTCTCACCTGAACGAAAGAAATACTATAATTCATTAGAAGTCTCACCTGAACGAAAGACCACGGACTTGGGGGTTCTCCAGGTATTCGGCGATGGTCATGTGACTGCCGACAGGGGCGATGATTCGGTCAACGATGTGAAGGATGCCGTTGTCGGTGACGATGTCCGGCTGAAGGATGGTGGCACCATTGATGGTGATGATCTGTGAGGATGGGGGTGAAAGATTTATACCGTAATCTACCTTTCAATGGTCTAAGTGAAATATCCTTGTGATTAAAACATGTAATGTAAGGAATGGATGTGAAATATGCAGCAGATTGGAAGGTAAAGAATGAAGCACTGCCTGAAGTATTCAGCTGATTGGAAGGTAAAGAATAAAGCACTGCCTGTGAAGTATTCAGCTGTTTGGAAGGTAAAGAATTAAGCACTGCCTGTGAAATTATTCAGCTGATTGGAAGGTAAAGAAGTAAGCACTGCCTGTGAAATTATTCAGCTGATTGGAAGGTAAAGAATAAAGCACTGCCTGTGAAATTATTCAGCTGATTGGAAGGTAAAGAATTAAGCACTGCTTGTGAAATTATTCAGCTGATTGGAAGGTAAAGAATTAAGCACTTCCTGTGAAATTATTCAGCTGATTGGAAGGTAAAGAATAAAGCACTGCCTGTGAAATTATTCAGCTGATTGGAAGGTAAAGAATTAAGCACTGCTTGTGAAATTATTCAACCGATTGGAAGGTACAGAATAAAGCACTGATTGTGAAATTATTCAGCCGATTGGAAGGTAAAGAATAAAGCATTGCTTGTGAAATTATTCAGCTGATTGGAAGGTATCGAATGAAGCACTGCCTGTGAAATTATTCAGCCGATTGCAAGGTAAAGAATAAAGCACTGAGTGTGAAATTATTCAGCTGATTGGAAGGTAAAGAATTAAGCACTGCTTGTGAAATTATTCAGCCGATTGGAAGGTACAGAATAAAGCAATGCCTGTGAATTTATTCAGCCGATTGGAAGGTAAATAATAAAGCATTGCCTGTGAAGTATTTAGCTGATTGGAAGGTAGAGATTAAAGCACTGCCTGTGAAATATTCAGCCGATTGGATTGCAAGGTAAATAATAAAGCACTGGTTGTGATATATTCAGCTGATTGGGAGGTAAGAATAAAGCACTGCCTGTTTAGTATTCAGCTGATTGGAAGGTAAAGAATAAAACACTGCCTGTGAAATTATTCAGCTGATCGGTAGGTTTAAGAGTAAAGCACTGCCTGTGAAGTATTTAGCTGATTGTTAGGTAAAGAATAAAGCAATGCCTGTGAAATTATTCAGCTGATTGGAAGGTAAAGAATAAAGCACTGCCTGTGAAATATTCAGCTGATTGGAAGGTAAAGAATAAAGCACTGCCTGTGAAATATTCAGCTGATTGGTAGGTAAAGAATAAAGCACTGCCTGTGAAGTATTCAGGTGATTGGAAGGTAAAGAATAAAGCACTGCCTGTGAAATTATTCAGCTGATTGGAAGGTAAAGAATAAAGCACTGCCTGTGAAATTATTCAGCTGATTGGAAGGTATAGAATGAAGCACTGCCTGTGAAATTATTCAGCCGATTGCAAGGTAAAGAATAAAGCACAGCCTGTGAAATTATTCTGCTGATTGGAAGGTAAAGAATTAAGCACTGCCTGTGAAATTATTCAGCTGATTGGAAGGTATAGAATGAAGCACTGCCTGTGAAATTATTCAGCCGATTGCAAGGTAAAGAATCAAGCACAGCCTGTGAAATTATTCTGCTGATTGGAAGGTAAAGAATAAAGCACTGCCTGTGAAATTATTCAGCCGATTGGAAGGTACAGAATAAAGCACTGCCTGTGAAATTATTCAGTCGATTGGAAGGTAAAGAATAAAGCATTGCCTGTGAAGTATTTAGCTGATTGGAAGGTAAAGATTAAAGCACTGCCTGTGAAATATTCAGCCGATTGGATTGCAAGGTAAATAATAAAGCACTGGTTGTGAAATAATCAGCTGATTGGGAGGTAAAGAATAAAGCACTGCCTGTTTAGTATTCAGCTGATTGGAAGGTAAAGAATAAAACACTGCCTGTGAAATTATTCAGCTGATCGGTATTTTTAAGAGTAAAGCACTGCCTGTGAAGTATTTAGCTGATTGGAAGGTACAGAATAAAGCACTGCCTGTGAAATTATTCAGCCGATTGCCAAATAAGAATTCATTTAAAAATCCTTAATTTTGATTTCCGATTGAACGTAATGCAAGTGGATCATGTATTGGTATTAAACTCAACGGTTAGATGTTTAAGCCCAGGTTCAAATCCTCGTATCTTAAATCCCTTACATTTTCCCTTGCCGAGTTTTATCTATATTATTTTGCGTTTGTTTATTCTCAGTAGTGATAATACAATACTCAAGCCAAACCGAAAATAAAAAAAAAGGTCATACATTGCAATAGAACTTCTTAACAATCTCAAGCACACACATGGTACTGACCAGTCCGTCTGAGGTAGAGAAGCGGTTGACGTACAGGGAGAGGGTAGGGTGGAGCCGCGACGTCACACGTCCTTTGGAAGGCAGCATCGCCAAGGTGACTTTACCATTCTCTGAGGATGGAGGGTGGAAGATTAGGGATGGAGGGTGGAAGGTTAGGGATGGAGGGTGGAAGGTTAGGGATGGAGGGTGGAAGGTTAGGGATGGAGGGTGGAAGATTAGGGATGGAGGGTGGAAGATTAGGGATGGAGGGTGGAAGATTAGGGATGGAGGGTGGAAGATTAGGGGAGATTAAAGTACGAAGGGTACGCGTCATGCTTGGCTGACTTACGCGTTTGGACACCGTTGTCCGATCACGCGCCACCCTATGTGGTCGTGCACTAATGACACGACCGCCCCAACATGGACGTAAATGCTACCACCGTCGAGCAGTTTATGTTCTTTATGTCTAGGGCGGCGGTTCTCAACCATGTGGGTCGCGACCCGGTTTGGTGTCGAAAGATCCTTTCACAGTGGTCGCCTAAGACCATTGTGAAGCACATATGCTCTACAGTTATGAAGTAGCAACAAAAATAATTTTAAGGTTGGGGATCACCTCAACATGAGGGTCGCGGCATTAGGAAGTTTAAGAACCACTGGTCCAGTGTAATTGTTTTCGTCCTACTAACCACACTTGAATACTTACAATAACATACCTGATTATTAAATACTCTTCCTCAATCACAATGTATCAAAATGGCCGATACCAAAAGTTCAAAAACATAAAGTAATGTCCTCATCCTACAGAGCACCGCACTTGGAAACACGAGGAACACTGCACCACGAACTACGGTCATCCCTGTATCATTTGCAAACGAACCTCATGTCAACATTTCACTTCGTGACCGCCAACCCGTCACAACAAGACTCTGGACACCCTAACTTTGATGACCGACACACTCTAACTACAAAAAATCTAACTTGACCAACCTATGGTCTCGTGGTCACAAGCACACCATTTACACACACACCCCATGAGCTTATTTCACATTCAGACTTCACTCCACTTTATCCAACCTCCAAAATACTATTCACTAACCCCAGCTCATGGCCAAACAAATGTTCCAAACATAAACAAGAGAAAAAAACAATACAAAAAATACGCTCACAAAAAAAAACACCAAAAAAACCAAACTCATAGTAAAACTCCAAGCCCTGTCGTGACTGATGGTGTGGCTAAATGTGTGTGCATTTCAAAATGTAAAATCTCATCATAGCTGGCTTGGTGTGCATGTTTCGAAACAGAAGAGATGACGCATACGAAGGTAAAATAAAAATAGAAAACAGGCATCAGAACGTGTAGACATTTCATATGGTTGTGAGATTATAAGGAGGAAGTCTGAACAGTATTAGATGACCAGGTCATATAATCTCTAACAAAATGCTGGGAGAAAAACTGACACTCTTCAATTCCACTGTAAAAAAAAAAAAAAAAGAAAGAAAATCACGTTTGTTATATTGAAATTGACAATAGTTACAAACTATTTTTTTTTTGTTGGTGATTATAACCTTATATTTTACTTAAAATTAAAAAAAAAAAAAATAAAT